CACACACACACACACACACACACACACACACACACACACACACACACACACTCACAAAAAAACCCACACTATAGTCACTATGAGACAAGCTGCCTCCTGAGTTTGCCCGTGGTATTTTTCCATGTGGGAAAACCATAAAACGAGCCACCATCCTCTCATCAAGCATAAAACACAGCCCAACATTCTGAATTCCGATCTCTTCCTCGGATTATCACAGCGGTGTCAAAACTGAAGCAGACTTGAAACACGTCACCACTTTAAAGCGCGGTCAAAAATTCGTGGCGCGATTTATTGTCAAATTATATCTCCGCAGCTACTATCGAACATAGATAGGTTCTCCAATTTTTGCACAGTGACTTGTATCATTTTTTCTTAACATATCAACATTTTGGAAACACTTGCAAGCTGTTTTCTGGACAATTCCTTAATAAACTATACTAATAAAAAAATCCAAGTGGCTGGTTTCTACATATTTTTAAATGTTTACAGCTTAGCTGGGGCAATATTGCTTTTAATAACAAGTCCGTCATGTTTTTCTAATCGTGACATTATGCATATTGAACGCATGTTCTGAGAGCCATTAGTTCTTCTAACAAGTTTTGCGAGTAAAAATTGTCATTGATGACCTGTGACGTAGGCCATATGCGTAATCAAAATGTGTGTGAGAAGCGGGAAGTGTTCTGAACAATACCATTTTATGTTTGACAGAGATTTCAAGTATTTGATATTTAATTATGAAGAAAAGTTTTTTAATCCTCTCCAATTGCTCTGGAAAAATATGAATTAGTTAAGACAAATTGATACAAACTGCTATGCAAAGTATGTTTGACATTGATTTACCTGTTAAAGAGATATTTGAGGATAAGTTGCGCCACGAATTTTTTACCGCACCATAGTACAAAAAGGATAAAGGTGGAGTAGATTGAGGAAAGCGGGGGTTTGAAAAAAGTGAGGGGGGAGTGAGATGCGGTGGGGGAGGAGAAAGGGGAAAAGGGTGGCGGAGGAGAAAGGGGAAAAGGATGGTTGAGGGGGGGGGGGGTAGCTGCTTACTATACGTGTCTATTTGTGAGTTAAAGTGCTGAAATCAGGCGCTCGTCAAAATAATGAGAAAGTAAAGAAACGTTTACTTTTCCGCTGGTTTGCCCATTTTTATCGAACTTTTGTTTTTGGCCTTTCTATTTTCACATTTCAAATCTCTCTCTTTCTTTTCTTTCCCATTTTCTCTCCTTCCCTCCCTTCCTCTCTCCCTCCTTCTCTCTCCCTCCTCTCCCTCCCTCTCTCCCTCCTCTCTCTCTCTCTCCCTCCCTCCCTCTCCCCCTCTCTCTCTTTCTACCCCCCCTCTCTCTCGCCCTCGCTCTTTCTCCACTCCCCCCCCCCCTTTCTCTCTTTCTCTATTCCCCTCTCCCTTTCTCTTATCCCAGTCCGGACCCCACTCCACCCCTCAACCCTCCCCCCCCCCACCAATCTCCCCTCATTTATCTCTCTGAACCCTATCTCTAATCCCCTGTTCTTTCCATCTCATCCAGTAGTAAAAGGCAAAATTTTCAATTTCGCCAGCAGCTGATCAGCCAAGCCAATAATCCGCACCGACAATTATCCCCATCATCATCACACCAGAGAGAGAGAGAGAGAGAGAGAGAGAGAGAGAGAGAGAGAGAGAGAGAGACAGAGAGAGAGAGACAGAGATAGAGATAGAGAAAGAGAGAGCGAGAGACAGAGAGAGAGAAAGAGAGAGAAATAGATAGATAGAGAGAAGGGGGTAGGAAGAGAGATATAATAGAGAGAGAGGTAGATAGAGATAAATATAAATAGATAGATGGATAGAGAGAAAGAGAGAGAGGGAGAGAGAGAGAGAGAGAGAGAGAGAGAGAGAGAGAGAGAGAGAGAGAGAGAGAGAGAGAGAGAGAGAGAGAGAGAGGTAAATCATGAGGGGATGAACTCTTACCTCTCCCGCCCCTCGTAAAAATACCTGGTCTCTGGTATGGCGACACGTATCTCTCTCACACACTCACACACTCCCACACACCACGTGACAACTTGCCCGGTCTGAGCAGACATTTGACTTTGACGTGAGCACCCGGACCCACCTTGAGGAGAGTGTGCGTGAGTTTCTTTTTCTTTTAAAAAATCATTTTTAGATCATGTCGGATGATAATAAGTGATATTCTGAAGGAACATTTCTAGGACAACGATAGATTGGAAGACCAGACCCGCATTATTGAAGGCGCGACCGTCTTAGTATAAAATGCGTGTGATAGATTTAAGTTGTGTTTGGTTCATAGTGGTAGTCCAGTATCTAAAAAAGTCAAAAAGAATTTCTATTATTACTTAATGACTCAAAAGCATGACGCAAGCTTAACGGAGATCGGAATATTACAGAAAGATCGTGTTCTTTGCATCACTTAAAGAAACGATTTTGAATTCAGGTCGTTTTTACGTCCCTGTCAAAACAGTTTAGATAATTTCAGAGGCGGGCTTCGATCCTGCCTGTAAGGCCAATCGGGACTGAGAGGGACACAAAGTCTCAACTGACACTCGGTCAAAAATCTCCCCACACGGGAATCGAACTCGGGTGTTCTACGTGCGACCTTGAAGGGCCTATAATCACAACGCCACATGTGCTGGTGTTTTGCTCTTTGCTTAATAAGTAAACAGTCCGAAACCTCAGGAAATAAAGCAAAAGATAATTGGTCACTTTTAAACACAAGGGGTTATCCCGAAAAAGGCTGTTTTGAGAAAATCAAAGGTACAGTTTTTGCCCCTTATTCAGTTGGTTTTTTAAAATACAATTTTCTCGTTGACCAAACAAATATACACACCAATGAAACCAAACGTCCCCCATAGATAGGGCAAAGCCCACTTTTGGTGTAGGTCAAGACTTCTGGAAACCCCCAAAATCTGGGTTAGCCCGCTTGTTTTTAAAGGCGACCAATTCCCCATGGTATAACAAGGAGTCGCAAATGAAGGGATTGTTTTCGACACTTTAAAACTGTTGCTCTAAAATCGCAGAACAGCTGCAGCTGACACCGCTATTTATTGGGGCACTGACAATAAATTCACGGAATGAGACCACGCGGAAAGTATTGAGGGGGATTAACCAACCACTACTTGTTCGTAGAAAAATGTTTTTGGCTAACAGCATCAACAACAAAAAGATATGCCTAAATTTGCATACTAATTTTGATTTTCTTTCTACTTTTGCCCGGTACGCAACGACTTTTAGTCACTAGCGTGATCCACCAAAAGCGTTGATGTGTATTTGCTTACAGCAACCTGTTTTCCGTAGATAGTGTAGGAATGAATTTACTATAACTTACCATTTATCATAGATAATGTTGGTTTTAATCTACTTATACCACATTAATTACCGTAGACAATTTTGTTGTACATTTACTATAACTGACCATTTACCGGGCGGATGATGTGAAATTATTATAACTTACCATTTACCATAGACAGTATTGATTTGAAATTACTAATGCCTCACAATTTACCGTAGACAGTTTTGGAGTATATGGCTCTTTTCGTCTATTCAGACGGTCAATTTAGCTTAAGATGGTCTCAAGGTTTTCTTCAAGCAGCTTCTTTCATGGCTAATTCTTCTTATGTTTTGGAGTAAATTTACTGTAAATCACCACTTACCGTAGACAGTGTTAGGGCGTTGCTGTATAAATGAGACAGTTCAGATTCAACAATGTCTCCCTAGACTTTCAATTAACACACAATTTACATTTGACAGTGTCCGCTTATATTTTGTTAAATAGAACTCTCAACTTACCATCAACAGTTTCAGCCTAATTTCACAAGTTAGAACTGATGGTCTATTAATATCTGTTTTAAACAGTGGTGAGGTAACATTACTTGTAAATACATACTATTTTACCTTGGACTCTGTTGGTGTAAATTCGTGGAAAATGTGAATGTTTTTATACTGAACCAGCAATGTATCTTACTTAGACTGTGTTGATTCAATTGCTGATTTCTTGGAGAGAAAAAAATCATCCTGGACAATGTCGATGTACAATTCCTGTCTGTGAACCCTTAACTTGCCAGTAAAAGTAGCTGAGTGAAATACAGCTGCATGAGCCAATGTCTCCTTATGGGCGATGCGACGTTCCGTCGCGCTCAGCAGTCGCCAGCGACGAGTCGCGAGGTGTGTATCATTTTGCGCGGCCACATCATACACCACACACGTGGCTTGTCGACTGGCACTCCTTGGCTAGGTATTTCGACCAACTGTCATGCTTTAAACCTGTCACGTCCCCAGTCTGTCGCGTGCGACGAGGTCTCGATCGCTACATGGGGCGATCGCAGGCGACGGTCGCGCGCGGCTAAACGCCGCGTCGCGTGTGAGGAGACGGGTTCTTTTTTAAATAATCTTACTTGGTTTATTTTGGAGCGGCAAGGACCGCGCGTGACGCGACGTCGTTTTGCGCATATAAGTAGACACACTCTAAGACAGCCACGTTTCTCCTGGATAATGTGCGATTGTCTTAGATAATTTTGACTTTATTATTTATGTACAGTGCATGCTTATACACAATTTACCTTTGAAAGTTGCAAAGTGAAATATTTACATTAAAAATATTATGCGTTACATGCTTTTATGTAAAATCTGCTTTTGAAAGTTGCAAAGTGATACATATTTACATAATTAGATCTATACATAATTGAACGTGATTTGTGTTTGGAAGTCACGAGGTGAAATTCCCAGAACTTGCCTGCACATAATCTACCTTTGAAATTTGCAAGGCGAAATAATTACTTACTTCCTCACCATTTCCCTCGTCCTATTGTGGTTTTGGCTCTTTTCTCGTTAATGTTTAGACTTGGCTGATGTCATCTTAATTTACTCTGTCTGACCATACAGATTGCACCCGGCGACCCCGGACACATAGCTCTATACTACTCTTTCAACACATCGACAAGGCAAGGCAGAGATCACAATGTACACCTCTCCGTCACTTTCATTACTCGGCCCTGGCTCCCTCCTCTTCCTCCTGTTCACTTGTCTGACCTTGACCCGGCCAGCTGTCGGTGACCTTCACACTCACGTGGGTACAGGTCATCACGGTTCATCGGAAGCGGAAGGTGAGGATGGCGGAAGTTTCAACGTCGAGGAAGCTTTGTTCGGGTCGGACTCCGATTTCGACAACGGCAAAATGACCAAAGAGCAGAGGAAGGAAAAACTTTTGGGACTAGCCCATAAATATGATACAAACATCAACACCGTTATTGAAATGGACGAACTGGTCCACTGGATCACGGCGTCCTTGAAAGAAATCACGGATCAAGAGGCCGCTGCGTTTTTGGACGAGCTTGACGACAACAAAGACAAGAAGGTGGATTTCTCCGAAATGCTGAAACATATGCACGACACCACAGTCGAAGAATTTGAGAAGTTTGACGCTTCCGGAAAAGATGAAGAAACCATTACAGACTACCGGGTTATGGTGGTGGAGAAAAAACGCTTTGAAATCGGAGACCTCGACAAAGACGGCTTCCTGAACGTTACTGAGATTGTGGCGTTTTTTGACCCCTACGACTTCCCCTACATGTACGACGTGGAGACGGAGAGGGCCATCGTCGGTCTCGACAAGGACTACAACGGGAAGCTCTCTCTACTCGAGTTTGTGGGCGGGGAGACAGAGGAGGGCAGTACATCGGCACATGCCGACCAGGAGGCGGAGTTCAAGATTCTGGACACTGACCATGATGGTCAACTGTCGCTGAAGGAATCAGTGGGGTGGGCTTTGCTGCACACGAGTGAGCAGCTGGCGGTAGAGGAAGCCAAGGCGATCATGTCTAAGGCAGATCGCAACGGTGACAATGCACTTAATATTAAAGAGCTGCTGAGAGGGGAGGAGGTTTTCTTCAAAAGTGGCGTCATGAATTATGGTCACACTGTCAAAGACGAGTTATAGAATCTTTGTTTTGTTTAATTTGATTAGGACCCCCCCCCCCTCCCCCCCCCCCCCCCCCAGAGACAAATAAGCAAATCGACACGATAACCGTCGATTAGAGCTGGAGGGGGGAGGGGGATGGGGACGACAAACATACCAAAACAATATAAGGAAAGGAAAAAAGTGCGACCTACCAATGGCGCCCTTCAATCATCAGCTTATAGTTGGTTGTAATTACAATTCGAGTATGATTTAAGTCGACATAACACAGACTGTATCCCAACAAACATGTCCGGTTTACCTGGTAAATACAAATCTTTTCAGTACTATCACAATTCTTAGCTATACTAGATTCAATTTTTTTAAAAATTAATAATACCATAATGTGTGTTCCGATTTTTAAAAATCATTCTCTGAAATCCTTGACAGAAAAAAACCCTAAAAACATGTGAGCAAGAGGAAAACGATTCAATGGATGGTGTTTAGTGTTATTAATGCATTGTATTATCTTAACCGAAGTATAAAAGTATGAGTTGCTTTGAAAGTATATAGATGGTTGTGAGAATGTATTAATAATAACCTATTTACAGCAGTACAGTTTATGTCTATGAACTACTCTAAAAATTTTAATGTTGTTTCGTCTATTTAAGATGTGATGGCTTGTTGTCGTGTGGTAGGCCTTGACTATTTTCACCAAAATGAGAACATACTGGTGAAGGTGGTTAGAAATGTGTTATGAGAATGGAAGAACAGAGTGTGTTTTTGTGCCTGTCAATAAAATTATGTCCGAAATAATTGTTTCGTTTTAACATTCTTCTTCTTCTTCTTCTTCTTCTTCTTCTTCTTCTTCTTCTTCTTCTTCTTCTCCTTCTTCTTCTTCTTCTTTTTCTTCTTTTTCTTCTTCTTTTTCTTCTTTTGTATTATAATTTAAGTTTGGGCACATTTTCTTCCAACCTCACACAAACTGAGGCGGGCTAGCTAATCTCTGCATTCTGTGCAAGTGAACCTCGTTTGAATCTCTCCCGGGTGGCTCTTGACTTTGTGAGCTTTTTGAATACGTCGTGGCTCTCCAAGCACGAGGCTGTGTTATATCGGATATAGACGTCAAATCGGACAACCACCTTGCAAAAAAATAAATCCCCGTAAAAAAAAATAAATAACCGTTAATATGTTGGTAGCTTGGCGGTATCTTGTTATTGATTTCATTTTCCCCAGTTTTTACGTAAATCATTTTGAACGCATTGAATTCCACTTGCAAAAACGGGAGTAAGTAAGAAAAAGAAACTGAAATAGGCCTAGTGCGAAACGAAGTCATTAACCGTAATAATTCTTGGCTCAAAGGGAAGATATTTCACCAGCCTCGACAGCTATGACAAAGACTCACAAAGGAACATTTTAGATATCTACTACTTGTACAAAATATCACTCGGTTTGTGATGTTGAAAGACGCAATGAACTAATACCTCCCCATTCATACCCCCGGGCTGTATTGGACTCAACTACACACCACACAGCAGCAGCTGGAGAAACAGGTGGGAGATGGGGGATAGAAAACAAAAACGAGGCATCGTGTTGAAATCAGGCGCTCGTCAAATATATTGAAATCGAAGATATCAGCATTTTCCCCGATGGGTTGGCAATTTTTCTGGAATTTTTTTTTTTTTTTTTGGAAAGGGGGGGGGGGGGGGGCTCAACACCTTTTATTTCTATCTAAAACATAATTATTTCTGAGTTAATTTTTTTTTTAACGGTGATTAAAGACTCTAAAAGTGTAAATTTTCAGTTTTCAACGACTCTCATGAGGCTTTGGAAGTCACCAAACATTTTCTTGCTAATGTTACAGCTGAAACCAGGCGACGTCCTCTCTTCCAATCGCAAATATCTCGACATTTATTTCACTTAAATGAGTGTTTTTTTCATTAAAAAGTAGGTAAACGAACAAGCTTGCAGTTGATACCAATAGCTTTACAACATGCTCAAAAACTGACGAGCGCCTGATTCCACCGCGTCGTGACAACATACTTAAACGACTCTTTAGAGCGCAGAGGCGCGGGGACCAGAACGCTATAAAACTCAATAATAACATCACGAATATCTATTCATTGATATATCCTGACTTTCCGCGTGAATGGAGACTCAGACATCAGCAATATTGTAATGTGTTACTCTTTGGCGTTACCGTGCACAACATAGATCTTTAATTCACCTATAGCCAATGATTGGGTAACACTGTAATGTATTCTAATTTATGCATAGCTTTGACAACTTGTAGACTGTTCTAGGGTTTTGTTAGGCACTCTCGTACTTGTTGTTTTTATTGTCGTTGTTGTTGTAGCTGCTGCTGTTGTTGTTATTGTTGTTGTTGTTGTTGTTGCTGTTGTTGGTGGTGGGTTTTTTTTGCTGTTGTTATTGTTGTTGCTGTTGTTGTTGTTGTTATTGCTGTTGTTGTTGCTGTCGTTGTTGTTGCTGTTGTTTTTGTTGTCATTGTTATCTATCTATCTATCTATCTATCTATCTATCTATCTATCTATCTATCTATCTATCTATCTATCTATCTATCTATCTATCTATCTATCATTATCTCCCTCACACGCGCTCACGCACACACAAACACACACACACACATACACACACACACACACACACACATAAACACAACGAGCACAACAATACACTTTCGTATCTTCATATCTACAAGCACACAGTTGAATACAGAAACACCCTAACCTCCCATTCAAAACCCCATATTGTATTATAATTTGTTTTGTTACTGCCAGGCTCTGACGGCACTTGCAACACAACTAGATCAAATAAACGCCAAAGATTAGAGATATTACTAGACTATAGTGTGGTCAAAAATTCGTGGCGCAACTTATTGTCAAATATTCCCTCAACTGTCAAACATAGCCTCTTCAGCTTTTGCACAATGACTTATATCAATTTGTCTTAACAGATCAAAATATCGTAAACACCTGTTAGCTGTATTCGAGAAAAACCCTTAATTAATGTTCACAAAAAAAAACAAGCAGGTGGTTTCTACAGGTTTAAAATGGTTTACAGCTGGAGCAATGTTGCTTTTAAAAGCACGTCTGTCATTGTTTTCTAATTTTGACACTATCTTTCTGGAACGCAAGTTTTGAGTTCACTATAAAATTAATTTCTTGTAACAAGTTTTGCAACTAAAAAGTATCATTGGTGAGCTGTGACGTAAGCCATATGCGTATACAAAATGTGTGCGAGAAGCAGAAAGTGCTGTTAACAATCCCATTTCGGGCGTGACGGAAATGTATAGTATTTCATACAAATTTATGAAGAAAACTGTTTAAATCTAGCCTCAATTTTTGTGGAGAAATATTGTTAAGTTAGAACGAATTGAGACCAATTACTGTGAAAAGTATGGGTGACATTGATTCTACCGTCAAAGATATAAACAATGTATAAGGATAAATTGTGCCACGACTTTTTTTTCACTGCACTATAGACAGTAACATACACAGGGAAAAAAGGAGAGAGAAGGACGAAAGGAAAGAAGGAACAAATCACACCAAGGCTCTTGCCAACCACCCACAGACATAAATCGATTCTCATCACGCCCCAAAAAAGCGTAACTTCAACTGACTAAACCGATTCTTATCGGCACATAAAACGAAAGCAAAAACGAAACGAAATGATAAAATACCGTAACAAGCTCGTCAATGTCAGACGGTCGAACATTTCGCTAACCGTTTTACAGCACACTGACTCGAGTTAACAAGCCACAAGACGACACGACACTGTCACGAAACGATATCCCCACCGCGATTTATTGAAGTACGGTTGCGTGTTTGTGTAGGTGGTTGGAAGGGGCTCTATTAATTTTTCTTACGACTCCCGACTTCTCAACCCCCCCCCCCCCCCCTTTTCATGTGCTGATTCTGTCTATTGTCTATCTCTCTCGCTTCTTCCCCGTACTAAATGCAAAGATTCTTTACTAAAGTAATAGTAAAAAATCTTTGCTATTATATGGGCGTTATTATTGAGATGTTCTTGTTTTTACTCAAAGAAACTATGTTTTTAGTTTCGGCGGATAAGTTCACAGGAATTCCAAAGTAAAGGTTCTCAAAGATAGATGTGTTTCGTCTTGTTTTCGTTTCGGCTCTGTGAGACAATTCGTGTGGGCGAATACCCAGCTTCTGTCTCAGACAACAACGAGACGATATGATACCCACGAAATGATACCTTCACCACAATTTACTGAAGTTTGGATCTAATTCCAAAGGCGTTTCGTTCACGAGAATTCCTAGTAAAAGCTTCCTGGTCTCTGAATTGTTTCGTCTTGTTTCTTTTCGGAGTTCTGTGTCGTGTCGGTCGTCAGTGTCGTTTCGTGTTGTCTGTGCTGTGAGGCTTCTGTGTCGTTTCATGTCATCGTGTCGTTTCGTGTCATCTGTGATGGTTCATGTCGTCTGCGTATTGTGTCGTTTCGGTGGTCTGTGTCGTTTCGTGTCATCTGTGATGTTTCGTGTCGTCTGTGTATTGTGTCGTTTCGGTCGTCTGTGTCGTTTCGTGTCATCGGTAATGTTTCGTGTCGTCTGTGTATTGTGTCGTTTCGGTCATCTATGTCGTTTCGTGTCGGTGGATATCGAGCTCCCACCTCAGACACGGGGCGATAAAAGAAAGTGTTCACGCTCAGACACAGAATTCTGCGCTCATAACACAAGGCTCCCTGGGTCATAAACAGTCTGCTGGGGAAACTGGTGAGCAAATAAAGAGAGAAAGAGAGAGAGAGAGAGAGAGAGAGAGAGAGAGAGAGAGGAGG